CAGCGCCGAATCCACTACAAATTCAATCGAATCCACGCCGGATTCAACCAGGAGTCTGTCAAGACTGAGCCTTCCGACCAACAACGCCGGATACACTACAAATCCACTACAAATTCAGACGAACCCACGCCGAATTCCAAACCCATTCTTTCCAACAGCATTTCGCATGAATCCAGCATGAATCCAGCACGAAAACAGCAACGTTCTTGAAAACACTGCCGCCCAAACATCACCTGTGAAAACGACACCGAAACAGCTGATTTTGTAGTGAAAACAGCGTTGGTCTGGGCCCTGCGTTTTGAAAACAACTGAAACTGCCATGAATCCAGCGTGAATCCAGAGTGAAAACAGCACCTCTGCTGTACTGCGCATGAAAAAGCTCTTGGAGGAAGTCGCTTTTCAAAACTCGCTCCGCGCTGAATCGGTGAATTAGAGCCGAAAAGTCGGCGCTTTGGATTTGTGGGAGACTATTTAGAGATGGAACAGCGTCAAACCGAAAACGCCTGAATCCAGCATGAATCCAGCATGAATCCAGCATGAATTCAACACCAAAGGGATTTCACCTTCACCCTGAAAGCTGTGTCCTCACCGATTCCAAACGACCAAAAAAAAGAAACAATTTTAAGCTGTAAAAACATTGGGAAACATGAGCGCCGTTTCCACTACAAATTCAATCGAAACCACGCCGAATTCATGCCGATATAAGCGGCGCCGTTTCCACTACAAATTCAAACGAATCCACGCCGAATTCAAACATTTTCCTTCCACAATACCTGCCCAACACCTCCAGCGCCGAATCCACTACAAATTCAAGCGAATCCACGCCGAATTCAAACATTTCCCTCCCACAATACGTGCCCAACACCTGCAGCGCCGAATCCACTACAAATTCAATCAAACCCACGCCGAATTCAAACACTTCCCTTCCACAATACCTGCCCAACACCTGCAGCGCCGAATCCATACAAATTCAATCAAAGCCACGCCGAATTCAAACATTTCCCTTCCACAATACCTGCCCAACACCTGCAGCGCCGCGTCCATTACAAATTCAATCAAGCCCACGCCTACATCACACATTCCCAACATTTCCAGCGCCGAACCCACTACAAACTCATTGCCTCAGATTCCCCGAGGTCACCAACGAATCCACGCCAAATTCAAGCGCTTACCTCTTCACATTACCTGCTCACCACCTCCAGCGCCCAATCCACTACAAATTCAATCGACTCGACCCGCCCCCCATCAGCGCCGAATACAATTTCAAACCAACCCAAATCAAATTCAAACACTCTCTCTCCAGGCTTGCGACCTGAGGTTTGAGTCAGCATTAGAATATTCTAGCCGTTCACCTCTGGCCAATCCATTCCAAGTTGCAGTAGCAGCTTGCTGTTTCGTCAGGCACATCATCTTCGGCTTTCCAACTCGCTCATGCTCTTGCTTCACAGCACGGTGGAGGCTGGCCAGGTGCCCGGTAGGCAAGGGTTCGTCAAGCCTGCTGTAGATTCCAACGCTGCCTGAAAGATAACGGAGAGACATATAGTATACGATTTGGTAACCGAATCAACAGCGTGCAAGATGGCTATTGTTTACAACAGTACAGCCAAGATGCCATGGACAGCAATGACAAGCTGTGGGCGAGTCATCTTACTTGTTACGCACATGTTAGCCTCAAACCCATAGACCGCTTCCAACGCGTCAGCCAGCTGGAAGCCTGACAGCCTCAGTTGACTACTTGGATGGGGTGTGTGCTTACTAGTGGGTTAACATGTTTAACACAGTTTAGTATTTATATGATGAGAGGCAGATTGAAATTTGTTACTATTATGTTGAAAATATTGCTGGACAACTAGCATCTTGAAGTATACTAAGCTAAACGTTATAATTTTAGCTAAGTGTACTTAATTATGTTAAAGTTTAGCCACCTTTAGCTATGGTTGTTGAAAATTACATTCTTTTTTTTGGTGACAATTGCATCGTGTTTCATTGCATCATGGTCATTGCATCTCTCTCCAGGCTGCCTTTGAAGCTTTGTATGCAAAAACCCTTTCGAGACTGCCTTAGAAGCTTTGTATATATATACCAAAACACTTTCTAGACTGCCTCAGAAGCTTTGTAGACTACAAAGCTTTCAATACTTTCTTTGAAGCTTTGTAAGACTGCTTCAGAAGCTTTTTGAACTACAAAGTTTTCAAGACTTTCTTAGAAACTTGTATACAAAAAAACGTTCAATACTGCCTTAGAAGCTTTGTAGACTACAAAGCTTTCCAGGCTGCCCTTGAAGCTTTGTATACAAAAAATCTTTCGAGACTGCCTTAGAAGCTTTGTATACAAAAAGCTTTCTAGACTGCCAGCCTCAGAAGCTTTGTTGACTACAAAGCTTTCAGGACTTTCTTAAAAGACAAAAAAACGTTCAAGACTGCCTTAGAAGCTTCGTAGACTAGAAAGTTTTCCAGGCTGCCTTTGAAGCTTTGTATACAAAAAAGTTGTTGAGACTGCCTTAAAGTTTTGTATACAAAACGAAACTTTGTAGACTACAAAGCTTTCTAGACTACCTTTGAAGCTTATATACAAAATCACTTTCGAGACTGCCTTAGAAACTTTGTATACAAGTAAGCTTTCTAGACTGCCTCAAAGTTCTCAAGACTTTCTTAGAACCTTTGAAGCTTTGTATGCAAAACACTTCCGAGACTGCCTTAGAAGCTTGGTAAACAAAAAAGCTTTCTAGACTGCCTCA